CGAGAAAGAAAAGAGGTACTAAAAGTAAAAGAGAACGGCATATTAAAGTAACATCGGAAGAATCTGACCGCGAATATGAAAGGGAATTACCAAAGTCAAACAAAGCAAAAAAGAGAAAGAAAAAGGCAAAAAAGAAATCCCAGAGAGACGAGATTTCGAGTGATGATCTAGACCATCAATACACAAGTCAGAGAAGTAAGAGATATAAGAGAAAACCACAGGTGTTTGAAAGTGACAATGACTCTTCTGCCACAAGTAGTGAAGAAGAAATAGTAAGTCATACTGATACAAGAAGAAAACAAGGCAAGGCGAAACCATCTGCTAAATATGCAGAACAGTCAAAGTCAATCCAAAGAAAGGAATGGCAAGCACAACAGGGAGGGAAAGAACGAGTTCCACGAAAGTATAAAAAAGGTCGAGATAGAGCACATCTTGATAGAGAAGTTGGTAAAATGTCTCGCCATAAACAAAAAGAAGTGAAATCAGAATCGGAATCTGAAGAGGACTCGGCCTCTACCAGTGATGAGGGTGAGTCTTCCGAACCAAAACAGAAGACAATATCAACTCCATTACCCAGTGGGGAGGTAACTGAAGAGAGAGTTATTAAAAGGAAAACCACTGGAGGAAAAGGAATGAAACTTGTATTGAAGCACGCCGAAGAATACGAAGTAAGTGAAGACACGAACCAATCCAAACATCAAAATGAAGGTAAACGAAGGAAAAAAGATAGGGTTAAAAAGGGGGAAATGAAGGAAGGGAGAAAGATAACTAGCTCTAGTTCCTCTGAAACTGACGAGTCTTCACCCGAGTGCGACGTAGGCAGAATTTTATCCGAATCCGAGAATAAAAAACTTGTAAAGGTTTTTAAGTGTAATTACGGCAAACTCTGCTATGCAATCAAAGATCCAAACGCAACTGCCGTTCAACTGCAAGCGAAACGTCTGCTGTCACGTTCTAAACTGAAAAATGTACTAATATCTCCCGAATCCCAACAAGTGAAGGCCATTGCTTTAGTTCATGCTCTTTACCGGAAAATTAAGTCCCGTCCCGAAAAGTTATTCACCGTCAGTGAAGTGTGTTTGCACAACGAATCTCTACAAGAAGTAGGAACAGAGATGTCAATAGAAATTGGTAAGTGGTTTATTACCCGAGTATTGTAGGTGGCAACATACTATACTTTTTCTTATACATTTTTCAGGAAAAGTTTGTCCTGACCGGCAGGCCTCAGTTTTTAGTCCTCCTGAAATACTACCAACTGCTGAGTCAGATACAGGTAAAGACAAGTGGAGTAAAATACCTTCCAAGTTTCCCCACCCATTCAATTTGCAGATACGACACCACTGTAGGCACCCCTCTAATACAGCATGCCTGGAGTTGATCTCCTTATAAACCTCCTGTGCTCATGTTGTAGACATGTGTACAGTGTATAGTTCCAAAGCCATGCCTCCACATAATTATTAGCAAGTTGCGCATCCTCACAAAGTTCATCCAAATTTTGTCATTGAAGCCATCCAAGGGGTGGTGGGGGATTTGGTGTAGATGTACACTGTAATGATTACAGCATTCTCTTGATATCATGCAGGTGAAACACCAGCAAAGAAAATGCAGCAACCATTACCTATCGCTTCCTTCAGTGAAGCCAGCAGTATATCATCATCTGTAAAAGTGAGTATGTCAATACCACAGTTAGGCCCCAGTCCAGTATTGACAAAGTATAAGGAATATCTGAAAGCATGCTATGCTGCTAAACCCCTTGCTCCGTCAGACAAGTATCTCCCCACTCTCGATGCCCCGTACATCAACCTAGCCATGGTTGGTAGGGAAAGCTATAATCCTGAGCAAAGAGATGAGTTTACTAGACAAACAC